GTCAGTTTTACAGGAGTAGATCAGATCACCTGGTCTTTCTCCTTAGAAGTCTTTGGTTGAGGCGAGCTCTGGTGGCCTAGTGGCAGGAGGGTGTACTGCAATCCCAGAGGTGCTTGGTTCAAATCCACCAGATGCTCTGCTGGAGGAGGAGCAATCTCCTCCTGTACCAGTCAGATCTGATTTGACGGTACACACACAGAGACACACACACACACAAAATAATAAAATGAAAAAAAAAATAAAAAAAAGAAGAAGTCTCTGGTTGAATTCAAACCACCAGCCTTGTGGTTAGCAGCCATGTACTTAGTTAACTGTTGTGGCACCATGGCCTCTGACCTGGAGTAGCATCCTCAGTTCACTGTTGTCAAGTCAGTTTCTCCTCAACAGTGACCCTCCATCAGAGATCCAAGGCTGTAGATCATCATGGGAGGAGGCTGCCCATCTTACTCCTGAGGAGGTGCTGGGATTTGAACCATAGTGGGTGTCCAGCTTTGGGGTTGCAGCACAGTTCCCTATAGACGTGGGCACCAGAGCTCCTCTGGCATAGCTGGGGGCTAAATAATCAAGAGTTCAGAGTGGTTACTCCACAGTTTCAAGTGACTGACCCTTTCAGCTAGGTCTTCTCTCCTCTGTGGCCCTGGGAGCTAGACTCACCTATCCTCAGCTGGTCAGCCTGGCGTTCTGCCAGGTGCTTCTGGAAAATGCCTGATAGGCGCTGTTAATTATGGTCAATCCTCTGATTTGTAGGGAGGCCGCTATGGATTCTTGTTGCATCACTAAGTGATTGTGGGAAAGAAGGTTCAGCTCTCGAGGGTCTCTTCACAGGGGGCTCGTGTCCTGTGATACTACCCAGACGTGGTAAGGGCCTCTGCTGTCCACGGGGAACCCTCAGCCAAAGGCGGGGACACAGCCTTGGCAACCAGGAAGTGACCTGGCGACTTGGATGGGTCTGGATTCCCAAAGGCCAGCTTTGTGCCCATTTCTCACCAGCCAGCCTTCAACTTGTCCCAGGACTAGATAACTTCATCTCTGGAGTTTTGAACTCATTGTTGAAATGGGGTGAAGTTGCCCCAACGTCACTGCTTCTTTTGGGAAAATAAAAGACAAAAATGAGACCTTGGTGATACTTGAAAAATGTCAAGAATGGCTAGTGCCAAAAGAACAACTAACAGGTGCATCTTGGGAAATGTGCAATTGGAGTGCCCCTTGGCGGCGAGGATGGCAAAGCTTCGTCTCTTCTCCTTTGGCCATGTTGCTACGAGAAGCTGTTCCTTGGAAAAGGGATAGTGTGCTTGGAAACGTGGAGGGTCAGCAAAAGAGCGGAAGACCCCCAATGACATGATTAACATGATAACTTCAGTAATGGGCTCTGGTGTTTCAGAGATGACGAGGGTAGCTCAGGATATGATAGGATTCAGATCTGTTCGTAGGATCACTGAGTCGTACTCGACTCGATGGCACCTAGCAACAGGAGTGTGTGCCACTTAAGTGTGTGGGCTTTGAAGTGAAGGAGATCAGAGCCAACTCCAGCCTGGTTGGTCATTGTCCAGTCCTCGGTTCTCTCATATGTAAAGTAGGGATAATGATAACATTTGTCTCCTGGAATTATGAGCATTAATGAGTTTAAGACATTATCTCCTAGACCCTAAATCAGATGGATTGACACAGTGACTGCTGCAATGAACTTGAGTGTGTTAGAAATCATGAGGATGGCACAGAGTTCAGATCTGTTGTTCAGAAGGTCACTACAGGTCATATTTGACTCAGTGGCACCAAACAACAACAGCTCTGAGGTGAGGTAAGTGCACATACTTGTCTGTGGTTCCTCACCTGTACAGGGGTCAGAGGTCCTCACAAGCAGAGATGTCATAGGACACCTGGCATTTACTTGTTGATTTAGTTAGTAATAGTGATGGTGTTTGGAAATCTTTCCATTTAGGGCATTTTGACAGTGCTTTCTGTGGGCTACAGCTCTGAAACAATGCAAGAGGACACGACCCAGCCCCATGGGCAAGTTCATTTGGAAAGCCTTGGACTGAAGAACTGACCATCTTCCTGCCGGACTTGTCAGAGCCTTTGGCTCTCACATTTATTGTGCTTCTCTGGGACGAGGTCAAGTTGTGAGGATACCTTGTTTGACCACAGGCCTCTTTTCTCCAGGAGGCACTGGGGAACTTGAGTCCCCAAAAAGCAAACTGGGAAATGCACAGCTTTCACTGATTGAGTGACTGCCATGTACCAGCACTGGGCTAACTGCCTTCAGTATTACCTCTTCTAATTCTCCTCACCACCCTGAAGAAGACATTGTTGCTGTTTCTGTTTTACAGAGGAGATGCCTGTGGGTGCCAGTGACTTGGCTCCCCTGGCTAATATGTGGGTTTGAACCCTGGTTTTCTCATACTGCTGTACCCCGCTCTTGCCTCTGCATGTCCAGTCTTCCAACTTTTTGCTTTTCTGGCCCTCCCACCTAGGGAGCCTGAGTCCAGGGTCTTGGAGTGAGTGAGGGACAGGCAAGACTGTGAAGTCAGGTATTTGTTCCATCAATATAGAGTGCTTCATCTCCAAGACTTGCTGTGCCAGGGAAGGGGACCCAGTCTACATTTTCCTGCTCCAGGCATTGGGGTAGTCTCTCCCTTTGTATGTATGGAGGGAGCACTGTGAACAAGGCTGCCCCTGCCCCCTAGATCTGGACAGGGGCTTGGGGAGGAGCCCATAAAGCCAGTAGCAGGACGTAGCTCAAATTTTAATGAGTATTGACCAAGTGAGTCAGTTGTGGGCCACTCATTATAGCCTGTAAGCCCTGTCCATCAGCCAGCAGTTATTGTCCCATTTGAGTGCATTAAGTCCGGTTGGAAAAACCAAGACCCAAAACTTGAAAGAGACAGAGCTGAGTCCATGAAGACCTCGCCTTGAAGTGTGTCTAGTGTGGAAAAGTCTTTGTCTTGATGGATTTCTGTCACCCTCTAAGGACTCTGACCGTGCCAGCCCCTGCCCCTCTGATACTCAGCCCCTCTTACCCCTGGCACGTCACATCATTCTTTCTCCTATTCTTTCCCCCTATATTATCAGCCTCTGGCTACAGCTGGTTCAGGGTCCTGCCTCTCTGCTTTGCTGTCACAGCACCACCACTGTGCATTGTGTCCTCACTTGGTGACATGTTAGCTTCCCATTAGATGGTGGCAGAAACACGTCTTGCTCATTGTTGAGGCTCCCCTGGCTGGCACATTGAAGATGCGCCATAAATTCTTGGCTGGCTGAAGGAGAATTGGCGGGCAGCGTGGCAGAGTGGGCGGGGGCGGCAGGGAGGGAGTCGGGTCATTATTACACAGTGACAGATGAGTACAACAGCACAGCCCTGTGGATTTATGGGGTCCCCACTGTGTGCCAATCATGGGGCTAAACAGAGAGAAATATACAACCCGCTCTTTGCCCTCTGTGTGTTTATATTTTTTCTTGGGTGACAAGGGTAGCACGTGTACAAACCACTGAATAACAAACAGCTAAGTTCCAGGATCGTGTTAGGACGTCAGCGTGCTGAGGAGAGATCCACAGTAGGAACAGACGCGCCAGCTGTGTGTCCAGTACCTTCTGGGTGCCCCAGGCCACTTGTTTTATCTCATTAATCCTGGCCTCAGTCATGAGATGGAGAAATCATATTCCTGTTTTGCACGCGAGGAAATAAGGCTCAGGCAGCTGCAGAGATGACATGCGTGGGGCAGTGGCCGAGAGCTCAGTGAACATCTCTGACTGGCTTCAGTGCTCTGCTGGCTTGATGTGATGTGCCCAGCACACAGCCAGTAAGCAGGCTATGCATCCAGACGGGACAGACAGGGGAAAAGGGGTAGATTGTGGCCACCACTCACCAAGTGCCTGGTGGTGTGCTAAGAACACTATTCACATTGGCTTCTAACTTTTTATTAATCTACCTGCACTGTCTGCATTTTGCCAGTGAGGAACCAAGACTCCTTCCTGGCCTGCTTCAGTCTAACCTGTGGTTTCCATACCAGGCTGCCGAGCCTCCAGCTTCCCTAGACCGCTAGACCTGGGGTGGGGTCAAAGGCCCCAGGCTCATGCTCCTTGGTGTCCTGGGCAGGAAGGTGGGGCGTGGGCTCGGGGGAAGTTGGGCTCCGGAGGAGGGTGTGGACAAGCCTCTGCTCCCAGAACTCGTGCCAGCCTGGCTTGGTGGGTTCCACGTGGTTCCCTGCTGTGTTCTTTCTCCTTCTTATGGTGGTGTCTCCCCTGACCCGTCTGAAATGCCCACAGAACTTGGCTTTTAAGTTTACCTGTTCCCAGGAAAGGCCTGGAGCCAGGTATTCCACCATCTTCGTCTCTGTGGCTGAACACTTCTGTAGTAGTGCTGGCTACTTCCTAGGGACAGGGTAGGGAACATCTGCGCCCGTGCCAGGGGTTGCCCTACAAGATAAAGGCTTTTAGCCCCATTTTACAGAGGGCAGACTGAGGATTAGTGTGTCTAAAGAAATTACCAGGGTCGTTCTGCCGAGTTGCAGGAAGAGGATAGGACCTGATTCACATCTGACTCACAGCCTATTCTCTTCACCTCTGCCCTCTCCTGGTAAGGAAAAGAAAGAGCTGCGAACCTGCTTGTGCATTTAAATGATGATTTCCTTATGTAGGTACAGTACCCATTCAGCGTACTTTTAAGCTCAACTTTTACTCTTTTCATGATATAGTAAATATGAGAAAAAGCTGAAGAAGTTATCCTTTGTCTTACCAATTTGGAAATGGAGTAGTGTGGGGTGCATGGTGGCTTGTCCAAGGTCACCTGCAGAATCAGATGCAAACCCTGGAGATCTAACCCTGGTGTCCTCCCTGCTGCCTCTGTCCCTGCTGCTGGGAATGGATCCTCCATGAGGCTGTCCCCATCCCAGGACATGAAGTCAGTGGTGCACAGAGAAATCTCCCTGGGTCCTGGGATATCCTGGTTGCAGTTGTTCCTCTCAGGGCCAACTGACCAGTCCTTCTCCTTTCCTGTTTCCCAGGGTCCTATGAGTGTGGAATCTGCGGCAAGAAGTACAAGTATTACAACTGCTTCCAGACCCACGTACGGGCACATCGAGGTGAGGCGGACACCCTAGAGCAGAGCCAAGGGGCTGCATCTCCCTAGTCTCTGTCCATTTTCCCACCAGGGCTCTGTCTAGGTGATCCCCGGGTCCCCAGAATACCTGTCTCCTTGCATCTCTTTCCTCTTCCTGCAGTAGGAGAAGGCACAGGGTGGAGCAGACCCTTCTCCCGGGGTGCATCCAAGGGCGGGAGGTGCCTGCCAGCCACAGGACCAGCTGGCAGGCCATGGCTGAGAGTGCTTTTCCTGTGTGCTGGGCAAAGTCCCAGGTTGTCAGATCTCCGAGGATATTCAGGGAGATGAGTGTACTTGCTGAGTGAGTTGAACACTCTTTCTGAGAGTCAGATCAGGACTGGGTCTCCTGGATGGAGTAGCTGAGACTGATGTACAGGAGAAGTTGGGCCCACCTTACCTGAGATCCTGGGAGGCAGGGAGGAACAGTGCTGGCTCAGGCCCTACTGACGTCGAGAGACACGAGGAAGCAATCTGAGCCTTTCTCCTCGACATCTTTGCAGCGCTCCACCCGAGCTGAGATAGCTCTCCATGACATTGCTGCCCCTGCTCTCTCGTCAGCACTGTCCCTGTACTGGGGTCCCATCTCCTCACCCAATTCCTCTCTCTCTTGCAGACACTGAAGCCACCTCAGGGGAGGGAGCCTCCCAAGGCAGTGAGTATTTCCCCTCCTTGTGGACTGATAGGGGCTCGAAAGCGAGAGATAATTCTATTTCCTCCCCCAGGACTACCCAGAGTGGCCTCAGGGAGACACAGGGCTGTGCTCGAAGCTTTGGAACAGTGAAACCTCCCTTAGACAGCAAAGCCAAGCTTCAGAACCCGGAATTCCGTAGCACGGTGCCTGCCTAATAGCAGTGTGTGCAAATACTCGCCAATGATACGAATCAGCTGGGGTGCTCATAGTATTAACATTTCTAACAGCCAAAAACTTCCCTGAAGCTCCCCAGTGGGTCCTAGAGGCTAACAAATGATGTTCCCACAGAGGAGTATCACACAGGAGCCAGAATGAGTGATTCTAGCTCCACACAGCAACTTAGATGACTCTTAAGAAAACGTTCCATGAAAGAAGCCCAGCACAAGGAATCATTCTAGGATTCTTGGTGCATAGACCACAAAAGTGGAGCCTTTGGGTAAAATGGTGCTAATGGTCAGCACACCTAGCTGCTAACCTGAAGGTTGGAAGTTTGAGTCCCTCAGAGACTCCTTGGAAGAAAGGCCTGACAATCTACTTCCCAAAAAACCTGTGTGGAAGGAATAACCAGTGTCACTGAATGTGCATGGAGGACCTGTTGAATTGGTGTACCTATTACTGTGCAGGTTCTTGGCAACATTATAAAGGAAGAAATAAAACCCTCTGGTTTTCTGTTCAAACACAAAGGGTCACAGTGACTTAAAGTTGTTTCGGCAGCTAGGTTGGTTTTGACTTTAAAGTACAAAAGCAAATGAAGCTAGTTGCTATTGTTAAAAGACAGCTCAAACTCAAAAGCTCACTGTTTTCAAGTTGGTTCTGACCCACAGCTCACCCTCCACAGGGTTTCTGAGGCTGTAAATCACACTGGAGGAGATTGTCTCTCTTTTCCCCTCACTAATGGATTCGAATTGCTGGAGAGATACACCTTTGGGTTAATAGCACAACTCCCTGCGGACTGTGCCACCAGAACTCCCTAGAAAACAGATAACGCACTCATCCACTCAATGGCCAGAGAGTTGGAACTAACTTACAGCTAATCTTCCTTGGGTTTCTAAGGCTGGAAATAGCCCAGCAGAAGATTGCCCACCTTTCTCCCTCAGAGCCATGGTGGATTCGAACTGCCTTTGAGACTGAAGACTGTGCCACCAGGGCTCCCTGCATGACAGGTGGTAGTTACAGTTAGAAGGGGGCAGAAGGGAGCCCTTTTTGTTGTTGTTGTTAAGTGCTGTTGAGTTGAGTATGACTCAGCGTGACTATACGAACAGCAGCTCTGAACCCTGTCCTATCCTGGGGGTTCTCTGTTTTGCATGGGATACTGATTTTTCTGGGGTGTTCAAGTTTTGACTATTTAAGGAGCTGTGTACTTAGACACTCTGGATGCTTTTCTATGCCAGTGTTCAGCTCACTTTTTCTGGAACGGACCAGCCAGTAAATGTTTTTAGTGTTGCAGCCTGGATGTCTTTATCCAGAGGGCTCAGCTTTCCAGTTAGGCTGAGCACAAGTACAGCCAGAGACGGTACCGGAGCAGATTTAGTACCAGACAGACAGGAGGCAGGATTGGACCCTCAGATCACAGTTTGCCGACCCCAACTTACATATTTAATATAACTCAAAAAAATCTTTTAAAAGTCATAAACATTACCAAATGTTGTGTGCCATTGAGTTGGAACTGACTCAGAGCTGATGCTCTGACAGGTTTTCGGAGGCTGTAAATCACATGGGAAGAGATTGCCCATCTTTCTCTTGGGGAGCAGCTAGTGGATTCAAACTGCCTGCCTTTGGATTACCAAAGGAGAAAAGAAGCCCCAAAACATAATATAACAGAACAAAGCTGTTTGATGTGGTGCCTGTGGTAACAAAAATCCCAGACCTACTGTAGTCTGGGTGGTGGTTCTTCATATTGACCCCCGTTGGGTTTCCCAAGCTGGGCATCTTTATGGAAGGAGACCCCATATTTTCTCACAGAGCCATTGTGGATTCAAACTACTGGCCTTTCTGTTGGCAGTGCAACATATAATGTACTATGCCACCATGTTACTGTCAGGGGCTACAGAGAACCTTAAATTTACAGGATCTTAATAACATTCTCTCCTAAGGCACCTTCTCACACTCTGTGTTCTGCTTTTCTCACTGTCCTGGAGGCAGGCAGGCCCCAGATCATTGCTTTATAATCTGAGTGGAGTCCAAGGCTCCAGCACCTGAGGCGCTGGCTGGAGGCCCCGTAGCAGGGAGGAGGAGAATGCTTGACCCTCTCCCTACCCATATCCCTGCCTGGGCCAGCCTGACCCCAGGCATCGTTTTCCCTCAACAGTGCCCTTCTTTCTCAGCACTGATGGTGAGCCTGCAGTCAGGCACGTGTTGAAAGGCCTTCTTCGTTTCTCTTTCCTTCCTCGGCTATTCTGGGTCCTAGCCTCTCCGGCATTCCCTCAATGATCTGTTGTGTTCTGCCCTGGCCTCCCTTGTCTCACTCCTTGCTGGGTGAGGTCTCTGGAGCTGGGGGTATTTTTAGCCCTTCCTCCCTGTGGTGTTCCCTCTATTGTGCTTTATTTTCAGTCTCACCCGGCTCCCTGGTCTACCCCACTGCTCGGAAAGTTCATGCCCTCAGCCATTAGCCTCTGTACAGGAGCCGGGCCATGGGGCTGATTGAGAATGTTATACCAGCCTGCCTGTTCTGCAGAGAGTTGCACTGCTCAAAGACTGCACTTTTCTTGTGGTTTAAATCCATCCACGGGAGAAAGATGGACAGTCTCTTTCTGTGTGGGATACAGCCTTGGAAACCTGTTGAAGGGTCAGCTATGAATCAGTTCCTATTCTACACTTGAGTCCCATCTTGCAGATGAGGACAACTGAATCCAAGACAGAAGATGGCATACAGCTTGTTAGTAATGAGGTGTATAGTCCCGGGATCTCCCCCCTTTAAGTATTAGAGAAATAGTCAGTGGCATCTACTTCCTAAACAACATGCCTCCAGAAAACTCTATGAACTTTGATAAATGTCGATAGTTATAGGAAGGCTTTTCAGGCCTTTTGTTCATAGTGTTGCTATGAGATTGCTGTAAGGCAATCAGCAACAACAACAACAACTTAAAAGCATAAAGAAATTCCTACTTACATATCTCTCAGCTAAAAATAGAAAATATTAATTACTCAGTTCTTGTACATCTCATATGTTGAGTGCCTTTGCAAAACAATATTGGATTCCATTTATCAAGTGTCTATTGTATTCTATATTAGGCATTATAGTTCTCTACCTTTAATATAGGGAGCTCTGGTGGTGTAGTTCATAAGGAGTTGTACTGGTCACTTAAAGGCCAGACTCTGGTAGTTCGAATCTAGCAGGGGCTCCACAGCAGAAAAATGAGCACTCTTACCTCATGTTGTTTACAGCCTTGAAAACCCCATGGCAGGGGAGCTCTGAGTCAATTTTGACTCAGTGGCAATTTAAAATATTATTATTATAAAACAGGAAGCAAGAGTTTGCTATTTAAGCCATTTCTGAGTGTGTAATTCCATGACATAGTTCACACTCACCATCTATGCTACTGTCACCACTCTCTATGCCCAAACATTTTGTCACCACAGCAGTAATGTCCCATTTCTCTCTCCCTTAGTACCTAGTAACCCCTAATATACTCTGGTCTCCTTGCGTTTTCCTATTTTAACTATTTCATATAACTAAGATCCTTACTAAATCAACTCTTGGAGATATATGCACTATTATTATTCCCACTATACAGATGAGAAAACTGAGGCACAGAGGGTAGGGAGCATGTCAAAGACCACATGTGACTACACGTGAAAGTGGTAAAGTTGCTAGTGTAGGGGAGGCGTTTCAAGGGCAGAATTAGGAACAAGGCTCCAGGAGAGCATTCTTCAAGATCTCATCTTTTAGGACCACCTCTGAAGCTCCCTTTCACATCCCTCACCAGCCGTGAGACTCGGGGTAGGGACCTCTGGTCCTCAGTTTCCTCTTGCATAAAATGAGTTGCTGACTCCCCTCTCTGTAGCACCGACTCACTAAGGAAAGATATGGGAGGTGGCTGGCCCATCTCGCATGGTAAGCATCCAGCAGGAGGTGGCTGTAACAATGAGCTCTCAATTAGTACCTCACATGATTTCTGGTGTAGAGAGCTATAAATGAGGCTCATGCAGGCTTTATTTGAGAGGTGTCTGGGCAATCACTTTAAGGTTGCCTGGTGTCCACAGAGTATGATCTGGACCTTCCCATATTCCATCTAAACCTTGTGGAGGCAGAGAGCACCATCATCTCCATCGTCTGCCCACACTGGGAGGTTGGGGCTGACACTGAGGCTGGACCGTCAGGTCACCCAGGCCTTTACACACAAGGGGAGAACTTGGCATTTGAGGGAGTGAGGTGTGCCAAGGATCACAGCAGCTTGGAATCTGTTGTCCATGTGGCTAGCCAGCTGAGGGTCCATTCATAGTCCTGTCTTTGGTCTGTGAGGCACATGAATTAGCCTGTAAAACCCTGCTCGGAGTGCTGGAAGCTCTGGTGACGGTGTATGTCTTTCCGTCCCTCACAGACAATTTCAGGTACACGTGTGACATCTGTGGGAAGAAGTACAAATACTACAGCTGTTTCCAGGAGCACCGAGACCTGCACGCGGTAGATGGTGAGTCAGGCCCCTCACTGATCAGGGACACAGCAACTCAAAGAGGCACCTACTCTCCAGAGCGGCTTGCTGGCCCCACCAGCCCCTGCCCTTCCCTCCTTCCCTCCCCAGAGAAAGGCCAGGTATCCCCCAGAACCACAAAGCAAGTGACCAACCCCTAGGCCCTGCTGGGACGTGGCCTTTGCAATACAATGCTTGGCCTTGGAATTGTAGACTATCTGAATCTCAGGATTAGAACCTCAAGGATTACACTCTAAGAACACAGATGAGGGCTGGAAAAGACACTTGATTGGCTACAGGTACTTCATGGTGGGTGGAGGGCGGTCCTGGTGGAAAGCTCATTCCCATCATGCTCTGTATCCACTGCTCTTCAGGCTGGACCAAGTGAAATGGCCATGTGTTTGTAGGTCAAAACCAGTCGAAAATTGACAACCCCACACTGAGTCGTTTAACAGTCCTCTGTTGAGTATTCATGTGCTCTGCTGAAATTAAACCAATTTTTTACAATAAATGATAGTGTTTAAAACTCAGATTCTGGAGTTTAAAATTATAACAATAAATTTCTTAGAAAATGTGTTTTTGAAATCTTGAGATTCCAGAAATAACTTCTGGGACCTGAGAGGGATCCCAGGGCCCAGCTCCTCCCAAGATGTGACAGTCAGCATCCTACCACCTAAAACCAGGGGCCATTCAACTTCTTCCTGCTTCTTTTCCTCTCTTGCAAATTTCTTCCTCTTTTTACTGCTCTGGACTCCATGAGGTCTTGCTGGGCACCCAGAAAGACCTCCAGGAGTGGAGGTGGGAGGGCTAAAGCTATGAAGAGGGGCAAGGGTCAGGACACAGGCTTCATCCTATTTGGGGTTTGCTTGCCTATAGCCTGGGATCTCCTGGGGCCTCTGCACTGGTCTGAGCTGCCTCCTGGACCCCTAAAGAGAAGAACTCGCTAGGACTATGGATGGGAGTGTGGGCAGGGGCAGCTGTCAGGACTAACAGGGCTCCTGTTTGCTTCTTTCCTTCTGTGGCTGCTGCTTCCTGCCTGGGCACAGTGTTTAGTGTGGAAGGGGCCCCTGAGAATCGGGCAGGTAAGTTCCTTGGGGAGTGCTTACCTCCCCTGTCCCTGGTCTTGGGGGGGCTCCCAAAGAGCTGGGTTGCCAGGGTGCTGAGGGCCACATGTTCTTCCACAGACCCCTTTGATCAAGGTGTGGTGGCCACTGACGAAGTGAAGGAGGAACCCCCGGAGCCATTCCAGAAAATCGGACCAAGTATGCGGGCCTCTCCGGGGGGTGGGGCAGGGGAGGGACTGGCCGAGGGAGGCCAGGCTGAGGCCAGCCACTGGAAGGGGCAGGAGTCCGTCATCCTGCAGCAGTAGAGCAGGTTAGTGAGTGGCTTGCTTAGCCCACCCGCCAGTTGGGCCTGTGAGTCTCAGGGTTTTAGTACACGGTCAAGGTCAGAGCAGTGAGGACGGGTAGGCTGGGGGCTGCTTGCTGCCTCCCTTGCTCTCTTGCTCAGTCCCTTTGCTGTCCATTAGCCGCTCTGAGCCTCAGGCTCCCCATCTGTGGAGTGAGGAGGAGATTCCCCTGCAGGTTTATTGGGGAATTAAATGAAATCATAGACAGAAACCACTTAGTAGCACAGTGCCTGGTACATAGGAGATGCTCAGAAAAATCACTCTTGTCACTGTCATCTGAAAGGGTTTCTCCGTGATGCAAGCTGTCCTGAGAAGCCACATGTAGATACATTGTCCTTGTCCCACGAAGCCCCTGCAGGCAGGAGCCGTACACGTAGTTTTCCAGTGTTTGGCAAGCTTGTCCTGAGTGTTGTGGGGATGCAGCTGTGATCAAGACACATGTGGCCTTGCCCTTGAGTAATTCACATAAGAGGGAGGGCAGACTTACAATATTACAGTATCGAGGGAGACACAGGACGCATGCATAGAAGTGTTGAGCACAGGAATTACTCATAGCATAATAAATGAGAGATATTACTGAGAGCTAGACCAGACTGTGGCTTCAGAACCAGCTCAAATGTGAATCCAGCTCCATGCTTAAAATAGCTGTGTGGTACTCTACACAGTTTCTAATCTCTATAATCTTCTGTTTCTTCATCTCTATAATGGGGATAATGAAAATCAAATTCTACTCTCGGGATTGTTGTGGGAAGGATTAGATGAGATGAATTGATATTTGTCAAGGAATTAGCACAACAACTCATGCATAGAAAGCATTAAGTAGTGGCACTTACTAATTATCCAAGTAAGCAAGTGGTGCAACAGTTAAGCACTGGCTGCCAGTCAAACAGAATGGAAGTTCCAACCCCCTTTCCACCCAGCTGACTCTGTGGGAGAGACAGCCTAGCACCCCCAAGTCCCTGTGAGTCAGAATCTACTTGACAACGCTTAGGAACAGTATTAAGCCAAGAAGATGCTGAGCAAGGAAGAACTCACTCTGATCACCAGCTAATGCCAAGACCTTTAATGGTCTTTGCAGTTACTTGCTATGCCTCAGAGAGCTAGACAATGACTGAGGAGGACAGAAGAAGAATTGATGCCTTTGAATTGTGGTGCTGGAGAAGAGTCTTGAACATACCGTGGACCACCAGGAAAACAAATAGATCTGCTTTGGACAGGGTGAAACCAACTTTCTCCTTGGAGGATAGGATTTTGAAACTCTGTCTCACAATCTGTGGGCCTGTGGCCGGGAGGGACCAGTCCTGACAAAAGGACATTATGCTTGGAAGGGCGGAGGGGCAGTACAGGAGAGGAAGACCCTGGATGAGATGGATTGATACAGTGACTGGGGCAGTAGGATTAGGTGTGTCAGAGTCCGTGAGACTGGGTCAGGATAGGGCAGATACATAGGGTCGCTATGAATCAAGGGTGACTCGAAGGTACATAACAAGAATGCGAAGACCTTAGCTTGGAAAGATGGAGTTACCATGCTTGGAAAGAAGAAGGATCGGTGAAGGAGAGGAAGACTCTCAGCAAAATGGACTGAAACAGTGCCGAAAGCAATGAGCAGTAGTGTATCAGAGAGAAGGATGGCACGGGATAGGAGGATGGGGCAGGGCTCAGATTTGTTGTCCACCAGGTCACTATGAGTTGCACTCAACTTGCTGGTTGACAGGAGCAACAACAAAGGGGTTATCGTAAACTAGGCAAATTGTGGAACTGCAGTATTATGAGTAATCTGGATTCAGCTCACAGCATTCTCCCAGCTTGCCTTTGTAGAACTGAATTTACCAAAACACTATGAACTGTTCCTTGTTAATACCTGTAGCAAGAAGAATACTATTTCTTAGGCTTTTATTTTCTTCGTTCAAGCAGGTCAGTGCAACAGAGACCTCAAGAAAAAGCCAGAAGAGGCACTGTGAATTCTGAAGGGACCAATTAGTTGTTTTAAGTAAAGCTCTGAGTCAGGAGGAAAAGGAAAGTCCCTCCTGGTTGGGGCAAATGTGTTTAATATACTTGGCTGCTGATTAAAAGTTTAAAAGTTCAAGTCTACCCACCGGTGCCTTTGAAGACTTGCCAGTTTATTTCCAAAAAATCAACCGTTGAAAAACCCTATGGAGCGCATATTCTGATACACGTGAGATTTCCCGAAGTTGGGATAAGCATGGCAGAAGCTGGGTTAGGACAGAAGACAATTTGAATCCCTGGCAACAAGCATGCTGGAGGTACAGCTGCAACACATTAGCGAGGTGATCTACAGTGTTGGGTCATGGGATAGGAAGAAGTAGGAGCCATCATGAAGCAGAGATTCATTCCCTACATGGGATCCTCCTAGAAGGAGACTGAACTGCAAGTTATAGGTTTTAGCCAGCTATTTAGTGCTTGTTGGTGTTGACTCATAGCTGACCCTCCAGTAGGTTTTCAGAAACCATAAATTGCACAGGCAGAGATTTCCTGTCTTTCTCAGCTGGTAGATTTGAACTACGTGCATTTCGAATGGCAGCACAGCTCCTTATTAATAGGCCACCAGAGTTCCCTATCTGAGGATTTTACCACCTTGAGAATAGAGAAAAGGTGAGAGGGGGAGCAATTAATTCATTTTGTTTCTTGAAAGAGAGTAAGTCTATACTTACTTGACTTAAATACTTGCTTTTCATGCCTGTGTAAAGATGGGAACTTGAAAAGGAAACAAAATATGTGAATTATAAAACTTCTGCATAACAAAGGAGAGAGAACTTGGGGAAATTCTGAGTAAGAGTATGCCTTTCTGTCAAAAAGATGTGGAAAAGCCAGTGGGGAAAAATCTGTTTGACAACCTTGGTGAAGTATAAGATAATGTAACCTTTGTGAACACCACCAAGCCTGAATTTATAAGGTTAAAAAGAAACAGGATAAACTGATATAGTATCAGATGCAGGATAAGGAGAAGAGAGAGATGAGGAAGGATGACAGGGAAGCTGGAAATACAAGAATAATGCTAAAATCTACATGACACTGAGGAGCAGAATCAATCTGCAGGAATTGAGTTATTGGTGTGAGAAATAAACTTACATAGACTTAGCTACTAACTGGAAAAGTACTGATACATGTGCAGAGCAGAGAGAGAACCAATTTCAAATAATTGATGATGTGGCACAAGTGGAAAGGAAACAGAACTGCAAAGATATAGTAGAAGAAAACATTTCCGCCTAGTTGAAAGACCTCTACAGGTAGACCTGTACATGCATGGCTCATTATGTATCTGATCGAGTCAAGAAAAGGAAACTTTTACCTAGATAGACTGTAGTACTTTCTTGATCTACAAATACAAAGAGGGTATAAAACAAAATAACTCGAAATTATATGAGTATTTAGGTGTAAAAATCAAATTGTTGTTGTTATTGTTATGTGCCATTGAGTCACCTGTGACTCATAGCACACCAGTGTACACTTGCTCTGAAACCTGCCCTATCCTGAATCAATCCAACTCATCCCAGGTCTTCCTCCCTGCACTGTCCCTCCTCCCTTCCAGCGTGATGTCCTTCTTCAAGGACTGGTCCCTCATGGCCACATGCCCCAAAATATGTGAGACAGAGCCTCAAAATTCTTGCCTCCAGGGAGCATACTGGTTTCACCCTCTGCTGGACAGGTTTGTCTGTTCTCTTGGCAGTCCACTGTATATTCAACACTCTTCTCTAGCACCACTATTCAAAGGCATCGATTCTCTTCTCTCATCCTTAGTTATTGTTCCACTTTCATATGTCATAGCAAGTAATTGCAAAGTCCATGGCCTGGATCAGGTGCACCTTAGTCTCCAGACTGACATCATTGCTTTTCAGTACTCTAGAGAGGTCCCTAACAGCAGATTTTTCCAGTGCAATTCATCTTGTTATTTCCTGACTCACAAATAAACTCAAGGTGAACTTTCCTCATATTTCTCTACAATACTAAATGCCAGTAGACAGTGGAACATTTTGAAGGGGAAAGATTGCACTCTTAAGAATTTTTTTTCAATCTGTCTGTGATTTATGGATGTTGTTGTTGTTGCTGTTTAATGCCGTTGAGTCGTAGACGACTCATAGCGACCCTATGAACGAACAGCCCGAGCACTGTTCGTACATAGAGTTTCCGGAGGCAAGCCATTTTGGAAGTGGATGCCGGTTCTGCTTCCAGGATTTATGAATAGAGGGGGAAATTATGAAAGCTCAAAAGCATATTCCTTCACCTATCTTCAAAAATTATTTGAAGGATATAAACCAATGATAAAGCAATTTCAAGGGCTCAGATATGAGGAGTTCATGGTAGAAGAGAATTTGTGGTGGCTACTAAAATCAATAAATAAGATTATTATTGTTTTATGTGCTATCAAGTTGGAACTGCCTTGTAGCTGACACTTCCAGTGAGTTTTCAGAGACTATAAATCACATGGCAAGAGATTGCCCATATTTCTCCCATGAAGCAGCTGAATATTAAAACATTATCATTCTGACCATAAAATTGAATGAAAAGCAAAAGGCTATTCTAAAGCAAAAAATAAGAGATGTCTGAGTCCTTGTCATCAAACCAGAATCAACTCATAACTGATCCTGTACTGGGCTTCCAAGACTGTAAACTGCAAGGAAGGAGATTTCCCTTCTTTGTGGAAGAAAGATATTAGGTGCCGTCAAGTCAACTGCAACTCATGGTGACACTATGAACCGCAGATCTGAACCATACCCTGTTCCATGTCATCCTCACGATCTTCGATACACTTGAGCCCATTGTTACAGAGGAGTTAAACCAGCTGTGCTTTGAGTGTGTTCCCCAGATCAGCATCAGCATTTACTGGAAGGAATCCTGTTAGAAGTGTAAACTCTTAGGCCAAACCCAGACCTGTGGAGTTGGAATCTCGGTGGGGAGGGGAGGGGTAGCAGTTGGTTAAAACAGTCTTTCTGGGTGATGCTGATATAGGCCAAAGTTTGAGAAGAATGGGTTGAACTACCTCTCTCAGTAGAGCTAGATTTAGCAATACCATTCTCTCTTGCATGTACTAGTTAAAGGAATATATTTTATAAACTGTCTAAAATAATAGTAAGTATTGAGAGAGGGGAAGTAATATAGAGAATAATGGTAAAACAAAGAAAGCACTTTATCAACTGAAAAATAAGGGAGCAGCTGGAAAAGATGGAGCATAAAAATCAAAATAACATAAAACTAGAAGAGTCTTGAACAGACCATGGACCACCAAGAAAACAAACAGGTCTGTCTTGGAGAGAGTGAAACCAAGTTTCTCCTTGGAGGCTAGGATTTTGAAGCTTTCTCACATATTTTGGGCATGTGACCTGGAGGGACCAATTCTTGGAGAAGGACATCATGCTTGGAAGGGTGGAGGGACAGCATAGGAGAGGAAGACCCCAGAAGGCATGGATTGATACAGTAACTAGGGCAATGGGGGATAAGTGCATTGGAATCAGTGAAAATGACTCAGGACAGGGCAAGTATCAGAGCTGCTGTACAGAAGGTCACTATGAGTTGCAGTTGACTTGATGTCACATAAAAACAGTAAATATCCCATGGACTGTCAAAAGACCAGATATATCTTGGAGAAAGTACAGCCAGAGGGCTGCTTGTAGGCAAAGATGATAAAGCTTTGTCTTGTATGTATTGGGCATGTTGCTAGGAGAGGCTATTCCATGAAGAGGGACATCATGCTTAGAAAGGTGGGGGTTCAGCAAAAGAGAGAAGATCCTCAACCAGGTGAATGGCACAGGATAGCACAGGGTTTTAGGTCTATTGTTTATAGAGTCACTGTGAGGGAGCTCTGGTGGCCTAGTGGAGAGAAGCTGTGCCTCCAGTCCTGAAGGCACACTGTTTGAGGCCACCAGCTGCTCCTCGGGGGAAGGATGAGCAATTTCCTTTTGTGCAATTAACTTCCTCTGAAAACCTGCCAGAGGGTCAGCTGTGGGTCGGTTCCAACTCTATACAACAATAATGTGTACACACACAACTCGACAACACCTAACAGTAACAGTAAAACTAAATCAGTCTTAGAAATAAAAGTAAGTGATACCATCTCCTAGTTCAGAAGGCAAAAATTTCCAGGTTAACATGAGTCTAATAGTTGATCTCACTAGACACATACCAGGGAGCACTGGTGGCCTCCTAGTAAGGAGTTGAACTGCCAACCCAAAGGATTGCTATTCAGATCAGCCAAGGAGTACCTCAGGAGAAAGGTGGGAAGTCAACTCCCATGCAACTGAAAACTTGCTAGCTGCTCAGCGGTGAGTCAGCTGGACAGTAACAGTAACAGACGACACATAACCTAGTTAAAGAGGGTCTTTTATTCTGAGCTTAAGCTTTTCTCTCAGAGCACTCTTTCCTCCTCCTTTATTTAGATTGAGTTCTCTGTTAAAGTCCTCAGAACACTGTCTCTTTAAGAATAATTATCTTACACTTAATTTCAAAAGGACTGCTTTGGAGATGTAACTGTTGTTTGCTGATGAGTCAGAACCACCCCAAATTGCATGGGAGGAGGATTGCTCATCCTTTGCTTACAGAGCAGCTGGTGGATTTGAACTGTGTGCCTTTGGGATTACAGCACAGCTTCTTATCACTAGGCCACCAGAGACCCTCATTGGAGACAGGGAGAACTATAAACGAGGTGAAAAAATCAGTTTAGAAAACATTCTCGTAATGCATAACAATGTTGGCATCCTCAATCTACCAGGAAGTCTTAAAGATTTTTAGAAAGATAAACTGTCCTGTTAAATCAGTGTGATTTTCTTTTCTGTCTCTTCCAGACTGTCAACTCTATTAAAACAGGTGGCATGACAGTTTTGTGCCAGCACTTAGTACCCCAAACAAATACACTGCCACTGAGTTGAGTCCGACTCATGGCCACCGTCCCTTGAGTTTCCAACTCATCACGAGAGCAAATTGCCTCATTTCCCCAGGGAGCAGATGTTAGATTGGATCCAGTGGCCTTTTGATTAGCAGCCTAACTTGTAACACATGATTGTAACAACCCTCTATCAGGTTTTTGAGGCAGTGAATAGAGTAGGAAGGAGGTTCTGAAAGTCAAGTGATTATTAAAGAAATTAGGATTAATGCTAGACAGGCTAATAAAACAGTATCATTAAATGCTAAAACAGTAGTTGATAAATGTGTTCTACTGTTCTAGAAGGCTTGTTAAAGATTGCTACGTTATACTTATAGAATATCTGAATCACAGCTTTTTTTAAAAAAATTAAATTCAGAGGAAAAGTTACAAATACTATAAATGTCCCTTCATTATAGAGCTCATTCCAAAGTCCGTTGGGAATCATACTGTCAATAACTGCCCATTCAGATCTGTACTTATTGATTGGACCAGATGTTCACTAAGTATTGTCAACCAAGTACACCCGCCTACAAAGACAATATGCATCAGAGGTGCCTATCCCAAGGCCAGGAGCCAGACAGAGGAGATGGGTGTGGGTGGGGACCAGGACAGAGGGCACCATGTGCCTCCACCCGAGGGGTAGCTATTCCTCTTTGTTTAGGGAATGATTGACATTTAAAATTTTTTTGGTATTTATCAGTATTTTATAATTTTCCCCCAGTGAACAATATTACATCAGAAATTTTTAAGAAGAAAGAAGTTAGGCAGTGCCAAAAGAGAGGTAAAGATAAAGTCTGGTGGGTCTTGAGAGGAAGAAGTGACCCCTTGTGCTGGGGGGTGGAGGTTGGGCAAGGCAGGCCTTGGAGACAAGGGGGACGCATGTTTGGCCATTGCAGAGGGCAGAGTGTGCAAAGGGTGTGATAGGCTGGCTTTCACCAAATATTTCCTGAGCACCGGGACAAGGGGTGGAGTGTGGAAAGCAAAGCAGTGTGTACCAGGTACTGTTCTAAGCCCTTGGCATATGTATTTAATCCTCAGAGCAATCCTATGAGGGGGTCTTGTTATTATCCCCACTTCACAGTTAGGGAGACTGAGGCACTGGGTGGTTAAGAGACTTTCCCAAGATCACACAGCTTGAAAAGGCTGAGTTAGGAATTGAATGGAGACATTTCTGACTTGAGTCACAGCTTGTTCCATTTGGAGGTCTCAGCGGGGGAGGGAGTAGATTGTGAAGGGGCTGCTGCTTCTGGGTGGGGTCCAGATGTCCATTTGCACACCGTCTTCCTTCTTGGACAGAAACCGGCAATTACACCTGCGAATTCTGCGGAAAGCAATATAAGTACTACACACCCTACCAGGAGCATGTGGCCTTACACGCCCCCATCAGTGAGTACTGCTCTGCCTGGGGTCGGGGAGGCTATGGGCGGGCGTGGGCCGGCTTTAGTGCACAGCTCTAGAGCTTTGTGCCAGGGGGCGGTAAAAACAAATGTGAGTTTATTCTGTGTTGGTCCATAGCAGTCTCTAGGTCTAACCTCAGGGCCACCTTACTGCAGTAGCCAGGATAGATGGGAGGACCCTACCCGGAACCCAGAAAAGTTACAGCTCTCTTGACAGACTTGAGGTATTAGACTTAGAGGCGGGGACCCATGTGGAAATGGGGTGCAGAGTAGGTATCATTTGTTCTTGTCCCTCAGTGGCCCTCTAATAAATCATGTGGTTCTAGAGTTTTCATTTCTAAAGCCAATACGGCATGTTAGAGCTTCAGTCTGAACTAGTGCAGGGACCAGCCACCCCTATCCCTACCTCCCCTGCTTTCTTTGGTGAGCAAGATGAAGGTAGCTGCCCTGTCTCTTCTTACTAGTAGGAAGAGTGAGGAAGGGGAAGAAGCATGAGGCTGGAGTTGGAAGCCCTGGGTACTAGTCCCAGGTGGGCCACAACCTTGTGTGTGCCTTCGGAGAGCCCCAACTCTGTCTCCGGACTACTTCCTCACTCCTCCCATGGCAGGCAAGTACAGGCATCCTGGATGCCTATAAACCTGTAGCTAACTTCCAGCTTCTCTGAGATTTCTGAGGAACATTCTAATCTTAGGTCTCTAAGGGTTTGAGCTAGAAGAGCCCCTCTTTCCCCAACTGTTTGTTGAGATGAAGATACACAGTCCTGGCAGGGACAAGCTTAACCAGTCACAAGACAATAGAATAAAATATTGAAGGGCGTATTTAGAGATGTCACTGTTTGATTTCTCAGTAGAGCTATCTACCCCATTCTATGGGTGAGAAGACATAAGTCCAGGCAGAGGAAAGGAATTGTGCACTGGGGGCTCATTTGGCTTAAGACTTCCTGAAGAGGCCTCTAACCCTCCTGCGGACCTGACAGCAGCAGTAGGTGGCAGGCTTTTCCCAGTGAACACAAATTAGAGTCAGGAGGAAGAGGTGGCCAGCATCTGGAGAACTGTGTAGGCATCTGTCCCAGGAATTCAGTCTGGTGGTCAGAGTGTCAAGGATCAATGAGACTCTCCACATTGAAGAACTTATGCCCTGAAGTTGGGCATTGAGCTAAGATTCTGATCCTGACTTGACCCTCAGTTGCTGTGTGACTATGTTTACGACTCTTCTTCGCTGAGCTTGAGTGACCCATCTGTGAAAGGTCTTGAGGCCTTCTCAGCATAGGGATCTGGATCTCCGGTATCTCCAATGTGAGGTGACCCTGAGGCAAGCAAGTGGAAGAAACCATCTCCAAGAACCCACCTACCACTCAGGATGCATGTGCTTGGGTTCCCCAGTACCCACCACACAGGGTGCCATCTGTGAAGCAGCCTCTACTCCCCAGCACCTGGAGCTGGTGCTGAGTCTTTAGGGCTGTGCCTGAACTTGAGTTCCATGGCTTATATTCCTCTAGAGATCCATCAGTCAAGAGCCCTGGTGCCTGGAAGCAGATGCTACCCACATGCACTTCAAGTTAGATACTAATTACGTGGCCACCCTGTGATCTTAATGTCCACCTTTAAAGAATATCTTCAGGCTACTTTTGCTCTTCTCCCAGATGACTCTTCCTAGGTTAACCTGAGCAAGGTCATGGAGTTAATAAGAGGAAGTGGCTGACTTTGAACCCTGGCAGGCTGTATCTTAAATTATGATCTGATCTTACTCCTTTGATAGTTCAATGAGAAGGGAAGCATCCCTTGATTCCTCACTTCTTTCCTAAAATGGTATTTCCCTCTTAAAATCCTATCTGGGAGCAGGGGGGCAGGGAGATGGGTTGGGAAGTCCTATCTGCCTCTCTTTCTACTCTTCACTGAAATTTGTGGCTTATTGTATCACATGTGTTTAAAATACAAGTTGAGAGGTGAGGCTTAATCACCCAACAGAAGATTGAGTCTCTAAGAGTGATGTACACATTCACCCCTCCTTTGACTCTGATCTCGAGGTTTTAGTCCCTGGGTTTGGTGTGGGGACGGGGGCTGGACTTGATTGCTTCATCAAGTAATGTCCAGAATGGTAAGAATATCTGAAAGGATACTCAGTCCAGGCTAGTGTGGAAGAAATTCTCTCTCATGGAATCATTTGGTTTGCATGCTTTTTGTATCTGGTTTGCTTCGCTCAGTAAGATATTTTTAAGATTTTTCTATGTTTTATCTATCAGTTGTTCATTCTTTTTTTACTGCTAAGTAGCATTCCATTGTATGAAAATACCACAGTTTGTTTAGCCATTTGCCTGTGTATGTTCATTTGGGTTGTTTCCAGTTTTAGGCTCTTAGGAATAAAGTTGCTTTGAAAATGCTTGTACAAGATTTATTGTGGCCATATGGTGGTGCTCCTTTCTCTTGGATACACACCAGGGAGTAGAATTGCTGGGCCATAGGGGAGATTGTGTTTAACTTTTTAAGAAACTGGCAAACCATTTTCCAAAATGGCGGGACTGTTTTACATCAGCTGTATGTGGGGTTTTTTTTTTATTTTTTACATAATTTACATTCCCGTCAGCTCTGTGTGGGAGTTCTATTTGCTCCATATCCTTGCCAACATTTGGTGGTGTTATGCTTTTTAATTCTCACTATTCTAAAGGGGCCAAGCTGGTATTGTGGTGTTAATTTGTATTTTCCTGCAGACAAATGATATTGACTGTCTTTTCATTTGTCTGTTGGCCACTTGTGTATTTTACTTTGGATATTGGAGTCGTATGCCCATTTTTTTGGTTTGTCTTTTCGGTTTTAAGTTGTTGAGGTGTCTTTTATATTCTGTTACCAGATGCTTTGTCAGATACATATATTGTGGATGTTTTTCCAGTTTTTGGCATACATATTGATTTTTATACAGTGTCTTTAGATAAGCAAAAATATTTTCATTTTTATTAAGTCCAGTTTATGAATTTTTTTGTGATTATATAATGCTTTCTGAGTTGTGCCCCCAAAATTCTTACCTCTTTCAAGATGATAAACTATCTTCTATATCTATTAGAAACTTGATCAAGTTCATTTCTGCATGTGTGTCTGTAATTGACTTCAGATAAGGCTTGTATATGATAGCAGACACAAGTTGAGTTCATTTTATTGCATACAGATAGCAGCAGGTTGTTCCAACACCATTTGTTGAAAAGATTATCTCTTCTCAATTGCATTGCACTTGAACTTCTGTTGAAAACTCATTGAATGTCTAAGTAAGTGTAAGTTTATTTCTGTTCCAGTAATCTAGTTGTCTTTATGCCAGTCCCACATGGCCTTGGTTATTATAACTTTATATAAAATAAGTTGTACATAAAATATTGTCCAGTTTTCTAATTTTATTATTTTTCAAGATTATTTGGATAGTTTAGGTATGTTAGAGTTTTCTTGCCAGTTACCAAAAAAGAAAAATTACAAATGAAATTTCATTTGCGGTTACATTGAATCTATAGACCAATTTTAATAGTAATGCATCTTCCAATCTATGAACATGGTATATCTTTCAGTGTATTCAAGTTTTTATAAAATTTCTCTGAGCATTTTTTAGTACATTTTCAGAATGTCTTTCAGAGGTCTTACAAATCTTTTATTACATTATCTCTAAGAATTTCATGTTTTGGATACTATTGTGGATTTGTATTTTATTTTCTAATCACTCATTTTTATAACACATTGTAAAAAGATCAGGGCCACATGGGGAATGCCTGATCTTTACCACCTTCACAGCAAGGAACTGTGCCTGTCTACAACATCAGTAACGCAAAACCAATTCTCATGAGGTTAGACATGTCCCCCATCCTCCCATGACTCTTTCTTCTCTGAAAGACTTGAACTGTCTGTGTCTTTGTGTTGGCAGCACAACTCTTTAACCACTAGGTCACCAGAGGCCTCTGCTCTTTGATTAGAGAAAGAGTATTTAATGTTTGGATTTTTTGGCTTTGTTTTGTGTAGTAGATGTCCTTTGCCCAAATGAGGGAGTTAGTTCCTTTTTAGCTCTAATTTTCTGAGAGTTTGGGGGGTTTTTTACCAGGAATTAATATTGGATTCTGTCAGATAATTTTTCTTGTGTCTCTGAGACATTTTGTGATGGGAAAGTCTGTGATTAGAGACCTCTCTAAAGTGCAACGATGTCAGTCTGGAGACCAAGGTGTGCCTAATAGAGGCCATGGTCCTTGCAATCACTTGCTATGCATCAGAGAACTGGACAATGACTAGGGATGATAGAAGGAGAATTGGTGCCTTTGAGCTGTGATGTTGGAGAAGAGTATTGAGGGTACCATGGACTGCTAGGGAAACAAACAGATTCATCCTGGAAAGGGTGATGCCGGGCTGCTTCTTGGAGGTAAGGATTCTGAAGCTTAATCAGACATACTCTGGACATGTTAGAAGGAGGGACCAGTCCTTGGAGAGGGACATCATGCTTTGGAGGGTCGAGGGACAGCATAAGAGAGGAGGACCCTTGATGAGATGGATTGATTCAGTGACTGGGGTAATGGGGGTAGGTGTGTCGGAGTTGGTGAGATTGGCAAAGGATAGGGCAGAGTTTAGGGCTGTTGTACATAGGGTCGCTAGGAGTCACAGGTGACTCGACAGCACATAACAACAACAACATCTGTTGAGATGTTTGTTCCTGGGATGCATCATGTTAGTTGATTGTGAATGTCACCTGCATTCCTGGTATAAATTTACTTGGTGTATTATTATTTTAATAAGTGATTTACAGTAAATCTTTTTCTATAATGTTGGTACAAATTGCTAAAATAATTTTGACATGTCTGTTTATGGGTTGTAGTCCTTCCTCTTTAATTTCCTGAAGAGTTTGGGTAGAATTGGTACTATTTCTTCTGTAAATGTTTGGTCAGATTTGACTTCAAATGCATCAGTCCTAGAATCTGTTTGTGAGGGTTATTTAGGAATCTCTTGCTATCTGTAGATATTTGAGGTGGTC